TAGAAAAAAAAAAAAAAAAAAAACAACAACAACAACTCTTGAGCATATAAATCTATACCGAGAGGTGCATCGAACTCCTCAGAGCTGTTTAGCAGAAGATCATTCCGCTCCTTCTCGCGCTTCTTCATCTCCAGAAACAATGCGAGTTCCTCCTCCTTCTCCTTCCTCACCGAAGCCCTCAAAGCCCCAAATTGCTGCTCCCTCTGCTTCAACGCAGAGTGCATTTGCGATTCCTGAGCCCTGAAACTACGATTCATCCCCCAAAACCTAAACCCTAAATCCCCAACAAAAAACCAAACCGAGTTTCTCGTTCACCTCGCGGACACAGGACCGACAACAGCCGCGGTTCGCTACGCAGAATGCACAGTGAAGTCTCCAAAAGCCACAAGAAGGAAGCGCAGAGTTCAAATCTGTGCGTGGAAAGCAAAACGCTGGCAGCTGGAACTAAACGACATTGTGATAAAGAAAGAAACTAAGCGTGTTCTAGAAAACGCCAACGTCGCGTGGCGAAGGGTGGAGCGAGAGGCGCGTGGGGGAAGAGGGATCGGAAAACGGGAAGCTTGAGTTTGACGGTGGAGAGAGAGGGAGTGGCAGTGAGCGGTAATATGAGTGAATGTTTAGATGCAAAATTGGGATTATATTGTGGAAAGGACACCGGAGAGCTACTTCTTCCTCTCGTTTCATGACACGTGGCACCGTTCGGTGGATAATCACCAAAAATGCCCCTTCTCTTGGTATTCCCCTTTTTGAATTTTAGCAACGGTGACTTCGCTCCGAAGACAAGCACCCTCCCCAATTTCAATATTTTAATGACCTCACTATTTATTGCTTAAATTAATTACTCTATATCCCAAAAACAATATTAATTTATTTTTAAAATGGAAATGTCACGTGAAGTTGAATTGAAACATTTACGTTGTTCAAATGTTAGTCCATACGTTGTCGTGTCTTTTTTCTTCTTTTTTTCCCCCTCTCTCCTTCGGATAGGATGGTGGTAATAGTATATCTGAACTATTAAATTATTAATACATTCATGAAAAAAGAAAAAAAAAATTCGTCTAAGTTACTTATTATAGTTTTAGATATGCATTTATAGAATTGATTTTGAATCACAGTAAATTTATATAATTAATTTTAAATAAATATCAATCAAAAAATATTTTTTCATTTAAATGACAAAAGATATCCACGTGATTTTTATATTAAATGATATTTATAAATTTAATATTAAAGTTAATTTTAAATTTATAATTATAAGATTCTTGTCTAATAAAGAAGTAACTTTTCGTTGTATTAGTTGTTTTAAGTGGATCAAAATTTAAATATATTGAATCAATTTTGTTAAATAATCAAACATGTAATAACAATTCTGATCGTATTGAATACAATGAAATTAATTTCCAACATATTATAGGTGAAACAAAACATTCGGTGTCTTACTTGTTTTAATTTACGTAAAAAAAGAAATTGTAGTTTAATTTATTTACATTAAAATCAGGATGAGAGAAAACAGTGCTGAATCAAAGGTACTCTATGTGATAATTTTTTGATATATGTCATAATTTTTCATTAGCTTTGGACTTTGGAAAGAAATTACAAAAAATAGCAGCGGTGGTTTTCCTCTGCAGGCATGCACCGTTCCCAACTTTAATATTTTATTAAGTTTGATATTTATTGCCTAAATTAATTAAGTATGTCATAAAAGATAACATTTGTTTTTTAAATGACAAATATCACGTGAAATTGCATTTACGTCGTCAATACTCATGTTAGGTATATATTAAAATTTAAAAGTATTTAATTATGACTTATTGACAGTATTGTTAATCTGTTATTGCATTATAAATTAACTGAAAATTATTTATATATAATTTAAAATAATTTATTATATACAATAATTTATGACTGAATCATATTATAGGAAATATTTACGTTATTAAAATTATAAATAAAAGATTTAATGTTTCCTTAAAGGATGTGAGTCCCATATCTGATAACACTTTTCCCCTCTAAACTCTCACTCAAAAACCCGCCCTTTCACTCTCTTTTCCCATCCATTCCCTTTTTGGCTAATCTCATTCTTGTTACTTGGATTCAAGGTGCTGAGTAAGTAACCAGGAGCTTGCGGACGCACGGAGTTCTTCTTCCGTCTTCATTCATCATCTTTTTCAAGCTTCTCCTTTCTTGTGCTTCCCGGAGCTCGAAAATTTTGAGACCAAGGTAAGGGAAGTTAGTAATTTTTGATGCTTTTCTTTTGGCTGAAACGAGTCAAGGGACTCTTTTGGTGGCCTATGATGGATTGATTCTTGGTTGAGTTTTTCTGAAATGGGGTTGTTGGGTTTTGTTTGGGGTGATGAGGGAAATTTGAGGATCTTGTGATTTCGTGATTGCATGTGTGAAAAGGTTGCATTTTTGGACTATTGGATAGAAATGTGGAAATTTGAACCGATTGCATGTGGGGTTCCTGGTTATTTTGCGGGTTTTTGAAGAGATTTTCGAAAGTATGAGGCATTCTGCTGAACTCGCGCCGAGCGCAGTTCTTCGCGCCGGGCGCGTGGTCACCTGAGGGCAGTATTTAGGCAAGTCCGCTGGGCGTGCTTGAAGATATTTGCCTCTGGATGACCCACGCCGGGCGAGGATTGAACCGTGTTGGGTGCAATGTCGGTCGTGACTTGATTTTGGGCTTCTGGCATGGCGCTGAGCGTGATTTTAGTCGCGTTGGGCGCGGAGACTCCTTTGAGTCTCTGCCATGGGATGCGTCGGGCGCAATTCGAATTGCACTGGGTGCGAGACCAAGGGAGGTCTATGCCTTCCCCGCGCTAGGCGCGGGTTTGGGCACGCCAGGCGCGCGAGATCCCTTGGAGTCTCTGCCTGGCGAGATCCCTTGGAGTCTCTGCCTGGCATGCGCTAGGCGCAATTGGTTATTGCGCCAGGCGCGTGAGAGCCATGGGCTCTCTAGTGGAGTCCCGCCGGGCGCGGGCATGCTTGCGCTGGGCGCGTTGGCCCCTGGTGCTCTCTGGTTGTACCACGCTGGGCGCAACCACGAGTGCGCCGGGCACGGAGAAGAAATTTTACTATATACTAGTTAATGTTGTTTATGATGAGCTGAGTTGAAAATGATGGATATGATGTGATGATTAGTAGACAGTACTGTTGATAATGTTGAGCTATAATTAGCTGTGTTGCAAGATGTTGAGATGTGTTGTATGTTGATAAGTTGTGTTGTGTTGTACATTGATAAGTTGTGTTGTGTTGTATGTTGATAAGTTGTGTTGTGTTGAATGTTGATATGAGTTGTTGTAGGCCATAAGGCTGAGTTGTTGTAGGAGATCTCCGAGTTGATATGCGTGACGACGCATTGTATGCTTATTGTTGATGAAGTATTGACAGTTGCAATTGTTCTTGTTACTTAAAGTTTTCTTACATGTTGTTCTTTTTATACTAGCTTACCCTTTTGTTGTTTCCATGTTTTTGGACTGCTATGATCATACTTGTATGGGAGAAGAGCAGGGATAGGTGGCGGTCAGTGGTGAGTTTGTAGCTGGTAGACGGGGCTGACTCTTGTGGATGTTTTGTTTTGTTTCAGCCACTTGGCATAGTGGCTTTGGATGAAATTTTTTTGTATTGTACACCCTAACTCTAGTCGGACTTGGGACATCTGTATATACTTATATTCTAGATCCTATATTTATATACTTGTTCTATTCTGTCTAGTGTTTCCGGTGTGTTGTGATTGTAAATGTAGTGGCCAGTCGGGTCGTTACACTTTAGTGGTATCAGAGCAGGTCGAGTCTAGTACACACTCTTTGGGGGTGGTTCCTTTAGGCTTTTATTGTGTTTACTCTGTGTTGTGATGTCTTGTTGTGTTGTTTGCTGTGTTGATTTATGTGATGAATTGTTGTGTTGCTAATTATTGTTGGGTTGAGTGGTAGTATACTAAAGATGTTGTTAGTTTTGTAGACGATGACTAGAACCAATGAACAGATAGCCCGTGCCATATAGATGATGGTTATGGCTATGCAACAGCAAAATGCATATTTTGCTCGGATGGAAGCTGAAAGAGTTGCACCTGGTGCAGCAAGACCCACGGGGTCACAGGAGAGCCGAGACCTAGCCGAGTTCCGAAAGTGTCATCCCCCACAGTTTACGGGTGAAGCGGATCTAGAGGTAGCTGACCGATGGATACGTGAGTTAGAGAAGATCTTTACTGTTCTGGGGTGTTCTCCAAAGAAGAGGTTGGCATATGCGGTGTATATGCTGGTGGGAGAGGCCGAGCATTGGTGGAGAAACACCTACCAGATACTTGCTGCTAGGGGAGTCACAGTTGATTGGGAGTGCTTCAGGACAGTATTCATGGAGAAGTATTATCTGGAGAGCGTGAGGCACGCTAAGGAGGCCGAGTTTTTGTGATTACATCAGGGAGGATTGTCTGTATCAGAGTATGCGTTGAGGTTCGAGCACTTGGCTCATTTTTATTCACAGGCTATTTCTGAAGCCTGGAAGTGCATAAAATTTGCTGAGGGGCTGAAGTATGAGTTAAAGAAGGTGGTGGTGCCTATGGCCATCACCGAGTTTCCTGCCTTAGTAGAGAAGGCAAAGATTGTAGAGAGGTTAGAAGGCAGTAACCGGGTGATCAGAGCTGCTGAGGGACCAGCTGGGTCCAAGAGAGGAAGTGGAAGTCAGGGGGCGCTGTATGCTAGGCCCCAGCCACAGCAAAGGGGTCCTGTCATTAGGCAACCTGCTGAGACTACCAGAGGAGGAGGACAGGGTGGAGGTGTTGCCCTTAAGTGTTATAGATGTGGTGGATCCCATTTGATCAAGGATTGTCCACACACTGAGAGTAGGTGTTTCAGATGTCAGCAGATGGGCCATGTGTCTTTTAACTGTCCCACCAGGAGTAGACCGGAGAGGAGTACTCAGAGGAGCGATACGCAGAGAGATGATACTCAGAGGAGTAGTGTTCAGAGGACTGAGACTCAGCGGGGTGATAGACCCACTACAGCTGGTAGGGTGTTCGCTTTGACGGGTGCTAAGGCTTCGACTTCTTCTGACCTAGTGAAGGGGAAGGGCAAGGCTGCTGGTAAGGATGTGATGCTTTTGTTTGATTCTGGGGCTTCCCATTCTTTTATTTCCTATGCCTGTGTTGCTATGTTGGGGGTATCTGTGTGTGATTTGGGGTTGAGACTGCTAGTGTCGACGCCCGCTTCTACTTCAGTAGTCGCTTCTGAATTGTGTGCTAACTGCCCTATTGTTGTGAATGGGAAGAAGTATAAGGTAAACTTGATTTGTTTGCCTTTGGTTGATATTGACATAATCTTAGGGATGGATTGGTTATCTGCCAATCGTATCCTTATAGACTGTGCCAATAGGCGGTTGATCTTTCCTCAGGAGGAGGATGAGTTGTTGATTTTAGCTAGCCAAGCTGAATCATTGCTGAAGGATGGAGCAGAGTGTTGTCTTCTGCTTGCTGCTATGAGTGTGGAGACTGAGAGGGTAATTGAGGAGATTGATGTGGTACGGGACTTTGCTGAGGTGTTTCCTGATGAGGTGCCTGGGTTGCCTCCTGTTAGGGAGATGGAGTTTAGCATTGATCTGGTTCTAGGTGCGGGGCTAGTATCGGTGGCTCCCTATAGGATGGCTCCTGCCGAGCTATCTGAGTTGAAGGGTCAGTTGGAGGACTTATTGGAAAAGCAGTTGGTACGGCCGAGTGTCTCACCATGGGGTGTTCCTGTGTTGTTGGTGAAGAAGAATGATGGGGGTAGTCGACTTTGTGTGGATTACCGGCAGTTGAACAAGTTGACCATTAAGAACAAGTATCCTCTTCCCCGGATAGATGACTTGATGGATCAGCTAAGAGGAGCATCGGTGTTTTCTAAGATCGATTTGAGATCGGGGTATCACCAGATTAGGATGAAGGAGGGCGACATACTGAAGACTGCTTTCAGGACTAGGTATGGTCATTATGAGTACGTCGTGATGCCGTTTGGTGTGACCAACGCCCCTGCAGTGTTCATGGATTACATGAACTGGATTTTCCGGCCGTTCTTGGATAAATTCGTAGTGGTATTCATTGATGATATCTTGATTTATTCAAGAACCCGTGAAGACCATGGAGAGCACTTGAAGATGGTGCTGGAGATTTTGAAGGCGAAGCAACTATATGCCAAGCTTTCAAAATGTGAGTTCTGGTTGGATGAAGTGAGGTTCTTGTGCCACGTGATTTCAGCTGAGGGGATTGTTGTTGATCCGGCTAAGGTGGAGTCGGTGTTGCAGTGGGAGCGTTCGAGGACTGTCACTGATATACGGAGCTTTGTGGGATTGGCGGGCTACTATCGTCGGTTCATTGAAGGATTCTCTAAAATAGTAGCGCCTCTGACCCAGTTGACGAGGAAGGAGCAGCCGTTCATTTGGACAGATGCCTGTGAGCGGAGTTTTGAGGAGTTGAAGAGGAGGTTGACTACTTCTCCTGTGTTGGTGTTGTCGGATTCTAGTGAGCCTTTTGATGTGTATTGTGATGCTTCTCACCAGGGTCTTGAGTGTGTACTGATGCAACACGGGAAAGTGGTGGCCTATGCTTCAAGGCAGCTGAAGAACCATGAGAGGAATTATCCCACTCATGACTTGGAGTTGGCAGCTGTTGTTTTTGCCTTGAAGATATAGCGAAACTATTTGTATAGTGCTCGGTTCAATGTCTTTAGTGATCATAAGAGTCTGAAGTATCTGTTTGACCAGAAGGAGCTGAACATGAGGCAGAGACGGTGGATGGAGTTTCTGAAGGACTATGACTTCCAGTTGATGTATCATCCTGGTAAGGCCAATGTTGTGGCGGACGCGTTGAGTAGGAAATCCATCCACATGTCAAGTATGATGGTGAGGGAGTTGGAACTGATTGAGAAATTCTGAGATTTGAACCTCGGTGTGGAGTTAGCTCAAGATCACATTAGTTGTGGGACGGTTACCATAACTAATGAGTTCTTGAGGCAGGTTGGACTTAAGCAGTTGCAAGATGCTAAGTTGGTGAAGCTTCTTGGGTTGTTAGGTACCAAAAAGGCTGTTGGCTTCAAACTGGGAGAAGATGGAATCTTGAGGTTCAAGGGCAGAGTCTGCCTACCTCAGGATGTTGAGTTGAAGAAAGTTGTGTTGGAGGAAGGCCACAAGAGTAGACTTAGCATACATCCGGGTATGACTAAGATGTACCAGGACCTTATGAAGACTTTCTGGTGGCCTAGCATGAAGAGGGAGATAGCTGAGTATGTGGCGGCCTGTCTGACTTGTTAAAAGGCAAAGGTGGAGCATCAGAAGCCGAGTGGGTTGATGCAGCAGATGGAGATTCCGGAATGGAAGTGGGATAGCATTACCATGGATTTTGTGGTTGGGTTGCCTAGGTCAGCTAGGAATAGTGATGTCATCTGGGTGATTGTAGACCGGTTGACCAAGTGCGCACACTTCTTGCCTGTCAACATTAAGTGGTCCTTGGAGAAGCTGACACAGTTGTATGTGAGGGAGATAGTACGGCTGCATGGGGTGCCTTCCAATATCATTTCAGACAGAGGTCCGAGGTTCACTTCCAGATTTTGGCAGAGTCTACACCAAGCTCTAGGCACGAAGCTGAAGTTGAGCTCTGCTTATCATCCACAAACGGATGGTCAGTCAGAAAGGACAATCCAGTCCTTGGAGGATCTGCTTAGGGCTTGTGTGTTAGATCACTTGAGTAGCTGGGAGGAGGTCCTACCATTGGTTGAGTTCAACTACAACAATAGCTTTCACGCAAGCATTGAGATGGCACCATTCGAAGCGTTGTATGGCAGGAGATGTAGGACTCCTCTGTGCTGGTACCAGGATGGTGAGTCAGTGGTGGTAGGTCCGGAGCTAATCCTACTGACCACTAAGAAAGTGAAGATGATTCAGGAAAGGATGAAGACTGCTCAGAGTAGGCAGAAGTCGTATGCTGACAAGAGGAGGAAGCCTTTGGAGTTTGCCGAAGGGGAGCACGTGTTTCTGAAGGTGACTCCGACTTCTAGTGTGGGTAGGGCACTAAAGGCAAGGAAATTGACACCGAGGTTCGTGGGTCCCTATCAGATAATACAACGTGTGGGTTCGGTTGCCTATCGGCTGGCCTTGCCACCGTCCCTTTCAAACCTGCACAATGTATTTCATGTCTCCCAGCTGAGGAAGTACGTTCATGACCCTAGTCATGTGGTGGAACTAGACGATGTACAAGTAAAGGAGAACCTGACATATGAGAAGTTGCCAGTAGCTATAATTGATCATAAGCTGAAGGAGTTGAGGGGAAAGTCTATTGCTCTGGTAAAAGTATTGTGGGATACAGCTACTAGTGAAGCTACTTGGGAGGTAGAACAGCAGTTCAGGGAACGTTACCCGTTTCTTTTCCCAAGTAAGTCTGTTTTCGGGGACGAAAACTCTTGTTGTTGGGGAGGTTGTGAGACCCATATCTGATAACACTTTTCCCCCTCCAAACTCTCACTCAAAAACCCTCCCTTTCACTCTCTTTTCCCATCCATTCCCTTTTTGGCTAATCTCATTCTTGTTGCTTGGATTCAAGGTGCTGAGTAAGTAACCAGGAGCTTGCGGATGCACGGAGTTCTTCTTCCGTCTTCATTCATCATCTCTTTCAAGCTTCTCCTTCCTTGTGCCTCCCAGAGCTCGAAAATTTTGAGACCAAGGTAAGGGAAGTTAGTAATTTTTTATGCTTTTCTTTTGGCTGAAACGAGTCAAGGGACTCTTTTAGTGGCCTATGATGGATTGATTCTTGGTTGAGTTTTTCTGAAATGGGGTTGTTGGGTTTTGTTTGGGGTGATAAGGAAATTTGAGGATCTTGTGATTTCGTGATTGCATGTGTGAAAATGTTGCATTTTTGGACTATTGGATAGAAATGTGGAAATTTGAACCGATTGCATGTGGAGATCCTGATTATTTTGCAGGTTTTTGAAGAGATTTTCGAAAGTATGAGGCTTTCTGCTGAACTCACGCTGAGCGCAGTTCTTCGCGCCGGGCGCGTGGTCACCTGAGGGCAGTATTTAGGCAAGTCCACCGGGCGCAAAGATGTGTGCGCCGGGCGTGCTTGAAGATATTTGCCTATGGATGACCCATGTCGGGCGAGGGTTGAACCGCGCTGGGCGCGATGTCGGTCGTGACTTGATTTTGGGCTTCTAGCATGGCGCTGAGCGCGATTTTAGTCGCGCTGGGCGCGGGGACTCCTTTGAGTCTCTGCCATGGGATGCGCCGGGCGCAATTCGAATTGCGTTGGGCGCGAGACCAAGGGAGGTCTCCGCCTTCCCCGCGCTGGGCGCGGGTTTGGGCACGCCAGGCGCGCGAGATCCCTTGGAGTCTCTGCCTGGCATGCGCTAGGCGCAATTGGTTATTGCGCCAGGCGCGTGAGAGCCATGGGCTCTCTAGTGGAGTCCCGCCGGGCGCGGGCATGCTTGCGCTGGACGCATTGGCCCCTGGTGCTCTCTGGTTGTACTGCGCTAGGCGCAACGACGAGTGCGCCGGGCGCGGAGAAGAGATTTTACTATATACTGGTTAATGTTGTTTATGATGAGCTGAGTTGAAAATGATGGATATGATGTGATGATTAGTAGACAATGTTGTTGATAATGTTGATCAATAATTAGTTGTATTGCAAGATGTTGAGATGTGTTGTATGTTGATAAGTTGTGTTGTGTTGTACGTTGATAAGTTGTGTTGTGTTGTATGTTGATAAGTTGTGTTGTGTTGAATGTTGATATGAGTTGTTGTAGGCCATAATGGCTGAGTTGTTATAGGCCGAAAGGCTGAGTTGTTGTAGGCCATAAGGCTGAGTTGTTGTAGGAGATCTCCGAGTTGATATGCGTGACGACACATTGTATGCTTATTGGTGAGCAGGTTGAAAGACTGACGGGATGTTTGTTGATGAAGTATTGACAGTTGCAATTGTTCTTGTTACTTAAAGTTTTCTTACATGTTGTTCTTTTTATACTAGCTTACCCTTTTGTTGTTTCCATGTTTTTAGACTGCGATGATCATACTTGTATGGGAGCAGAGCAGGGATAGGTGGTGGCCAGTGGTGAGTTTGTAGCTGGTAGACGGGGCTGACTCTTATGGATGTTTTGTTTTGTTTCAGCCACTTGGCATAGTGGCTTTGGATGAAATTTTTTTGTATTGTACACTCTAACTCTAGTCGGACTTGGGACATCTGTATATACTTATATTCTATATCCTATATTTATATACTTGTTCTATTCTGTCTAGTGTTTCCAGTGTGTTGTGGTTGTGAATGTAGTGGCCAATCGGGTCGTTACAAAGGATGTGAGAATTTTTACAATATTTACATGGCTTCTTTATAGGATTCGTTTG